AGGGTGTATACCACTTTTGGTGAAAATCGGACGATTTCCAGTTTTCCCAATAATTATCAAAAATGTCAATTTTTTATTCATTTTTACCTTGCCCCCCCCCTAAATTTCATTCTTCCGGCGCCCATGTTGGTACGGCCGATGTCGAGAATGGAGAGCTGGCCTCTGTGGAGCCGTCTCAGATACTGGCTTTTGTTAAAGCCCTGAGACTGTATGATGAGCTATAACTCGTTGTAACTCGAGACAGGGGAACACACAATAGATCTGTAAGGTCGCGGTGATTTACTCCCCTCCTAAACATTCTACATAAAGATCATATTATAATCTATGTTATTTTACATATCTTCCACAACAACGACGATATTGGACTTCCTCGCACTAATGGACCACCCTGTATATCTGAAACTGAGAGACAACGGTGAATGCAGATTCTGTGGGGTAAATGGGAAAACACCAGAACACTTTATCACTGAGTGCGCCGAGATTACGACCGTTCGTGCCATTAAGTTTGGTACGGCCGATGTCGAGGATGGAGAGCTGGCCTCTGTGGAGCCGTCTCAGATACTGGCTTTTGTTAAAGCCCTGAGACTGTATGATGAGCTATAACTCGTTGTAACTCGAGACAGGGGAACACACAATAGATCTGTAAGGTCCCGGTGATTTACTCCCCTCCTAAACATTCTACATAAAGATCATATTATAATCTATGTTATTTTACATATCTTCCACAACAACGACGATATTGGACTTCCTCGCACTAATGGACCACCCTGTATATAATAGCAATAGTGGAAAATTGATTGTTTGTCATATTTGGTTTTGCCGTTGTATGCCATAGAAATAAGTACCTACCGATCAGTACTCGTAAAACACCAGTCTTTATTTAAAAACAAATCAACCAAACACCTCGGTATTACTCAGACAGCGTAGTTGGTTTTCAAACGGTCTCAATAATGCAGACTGTCGTATCAGATTTCACACTTCGACAGGGGTCAAGTCTGGAAATATTTCTGGCTTGACCTCGCGTCGCTGTTTCTACGAAACCCTACCATTGTTTTTAAGATTGAATTGCAACAGAAAAAAATGGGTTGTAATAATAAAACTGGTAGTTTATTTAGAGCTAAGTTTACAGAATGTTATAGCTTGTTCTAAGGTTTACATCTTTGTATATTTTTTCCATAGGAACTGTTGTTAAAATTGACTTTTATCTATCAAAAATTATAGATAAAATAGTACTTTAACCGCAAGGGTAGATTAAATGATACTTTAACAGGGAGGATAGGTTAAAAACTTTATTTCTTCTCGCACGTTTTTTAATTGCTTCTATTTTTGAAAATTTTTGTATACCTTTTCATAAGTTATTCGGGATTTAAATGGAAGTAGTTTGGATATGGCGTTTGTCGGCTCAGCCTGAATATTTGTTGGTAATTTACTTATTTCGTTTTGAGCCATTTCTGGCTCCAATTCAATCAGGAATCGACACGAAAGAGAATTAAAAAATATTGACTCAAAACTGACAACCAAAGAGACAGCTTTATTTATTTGTCAAATTACATAGAAACCAACGCCAACCCAGCACAATATTTGTTCTACTAGTAATAAATTCCTTGAAATAATAATTTCTGAATATTTTTTAAATGTTACAGCGCTTTCAGATGGAGCGAAGCGTCCGCGACGGACCGTCCGCCACTTCGAGCAAGTACCATGAGTTTATATGAACAATTTCACATGGGTCGCGTATACTCCATCCGGATGATTTCATACGACGGCTATCTTGAAAAAAACAGGACGGACGGTCCGCGCGGACGCTCCGCTCCATCTGAAAGCGCTGTTTGATATTTGAAGCAAAGTTGATATTTGAGTTATGACGAAAGTCGGAAACACAACACAAGTCGTTAGAAAACTAGAATTAATTCAATTGATATTATCTGACTTAATTAATTATACGATAATTCAAAGTATGAATTACTAGCGTGTACCAGCGACTTCGTTCGCGTCGAATTAATCATTTGACTTTCGAAAAATCCGTTTGCCAAAAGTAAGCTTTTTACGTCAAGCAGTTTAAGCAGAATCGTGGTTAAGAAATTACCCAACTTTTTGGAATACCCTGTATGATATTTTAAAAAATTTCAAAATATGTAAAAAAACCAAGTAAATTATGCTTGTCCAAGCGTTTTCCCGAAAGACTAACCGTTTTTTAAATAACAAATATTATAATATTTGAGGGGCGTTTGCACCCTCTTGGAATTTGAGATTCGAGAAACCCCTCCTTATCGAACCTCTACACCCCACAGTCAATCCGTTTGCCAAAAATCAGCCTTAAAAGTCAAGCAGTTTAAGCAGAATCGTGATTACTCAATGGTCATATTTGATGAACATGAAACACCCTGTATAAATTTATAAAAAATCTTAAAATATGTAAAACAACAACATAAAATATACATGTCTAAGAGTTTTTCCAAAAAAACTCACCGGTTTTTAAATAAAAAATATTTTAATATTTGAGGGATAGTTTCACTACCTTAAAATTCGAGTTTCGAAAAATCCCTTCTTATCGAACCTCTACACCCTAAAGTCAATCTGTTTTCCAAAAATCAGCTTTTTACGTCAAGCGCTTTAAGCAGGATCGTGATTAATCAATGGCCAGATTTTCCGAAACACCCTGTATACATTTTTAAAATATCTTGAAATATGTAAAAAAACAAAATAAAATATACGTGTTTAAGCGTTTTTTTCGGAAACTTGACCGTTTTTTAAATAAAAAATATTGTAATATTTGAGGGGTGGTTTCACCCTCTTAGAACTGGAATTTCGAAAAATCTCTTCTTATCGAACCACTACACCCTAGAATCAACCTGTATGCCAAAATTGAGCTTCGTTGAGTGGTTTGAGCAGTTAAGGATTTTGTATATTAGTATAGATAGTCAAACTTCTTTAATATTATTTTGAATGACCCGAAAAAAAATTAGAAGAATAACCTACAAAAAGAAATAAGATCCGATCAAAAACATAGAATGTAAAAAAATGCCAAGTCTCGCAACACAATTCCTCCGCTATAAAAAGTTGTAAGATCTCATGTAAAACCAAGACAGTTTATTTTATTTAGTCTCTCTGTAAGCACCTTCAACAATTTTGATATAAATTGTTAGTATCAATATTAGTCATCTTTATTTCTATAATAATCATAATGACTTGGCAATTGCATGCATGGCACCATAATTATAAAAAAGAATAATCTATTATTTCGATTACTAAGTAAATCTAATAAACAGGGAAATAAACTTAAAGGAAATCGCACCTAAGCTTAAAAATCGGCAAGGGCCGGAACTGGTTGCAGTGAAGGGAGTAAACATCCCTAAAGGGGCGGCCATCACGGTCTTTCTGCCGAGGAGCAAGGGGAAAGACACCACCTACCTGCCCAGCCTTATCCAGGGTCAGAACTTCAATGTAAGGACATCGAGTTGGCGAGTCATCAACTCGAGAGAGGAGGGTCATGGTGAAGTCCTCACAATAGGAATTGACCTCAAATCCAAGGAGGCAATAGAGAAAGAGGGACATATCCTCTATTATTGATACGGGACAACACCGGTATCAGGTCTAAGGAGAGACCAAGTTAAAGAGGTGGAAGAAAATGGAGACAGATCCTCAAGCCTCCATCTCACGGGTTCCTCAGCCGGAGGCAAGCTCCTCGACTGTGAAGGGCGGCACGGAGGGCCAAACTCCAACCGTGGAAGGGTGTGTACCCTCGGAGGAAGAACTGTTGTCAGAGGAGGATGGGAAATACCCTATTTCCCATCCTCATTTCCTCCCATTCCTATTGTGAGGACCTGACCATGACCCTCCTCTCTCGAGTTGATGACTCGCCAACTCGATGTCCTTACATTGAAGTTCTGACCCTGGATAAGGCTGAGCAGGTAGGTGGTGTCTTTCCCCTTGCTCCTCGGCAGAAAGACCGTGATGGCCGCCCCTTTAGGGATGTTTACTCCCTTCACTGCAACCAGTTCCGGCCCTTGCCAATTTTTAAGCTTAGGTGCGATTTCCTTTAAGTTTATTTCCCTGTTTATTAGATTTACTTAGTAATCGAAATAATAGATTATTCTTTTTTATAATTATGGTGCCATGCATGCAATTGCCAAGTCATTATGATTATTATAGAAATAAAGATGACTAATATTGATACTAACAATTTATATCAAAATTGTTGAAGGTGCTTACAGAGAGACTAAATAAAATAAACTGTCTTGGTTTTACATGAGATCTTACAACTTTTTATAGCGGAGGAATTGTGTTGCGAGACTTGGCATTTTTTTACATTCTATATTTTTGATGGGATATAATTTTACAGAATCGTTTAAATCAGTCCAGTTGTCTATCAGGATAAGAAAGTTTGATGGCTTCTAAAAAATGAAGAAAGAATTTTATTCTCTTAAATCTTATACCCATATACAGGGTGGACCACTGAAAACTTACAATGGCTATAATTCTTAAACCAAAAAAGATATCAAAAAAATAAAAAATACCGTTTCTATAATATCGAAGGGGAATACATATGACGTATTTTTTGAACCACCCCGACCTACCCCTTAGACGGCACCCCTACTCGCTTGAAAATCTTAAATGGCAACACCCCACTTAGGCAAACGATGATCATAAAGTTTTTAGGGTGAAATTGAAAAACTATCCCTTACACGAAAAATTAGGTGGACATTTATAAAAAAGTGATTTTTTCAGCATAAGTTACAAATTGGGACCCAGCTTAATGAGGCAAACAGGTATTTTTCAAACCACCCCGACCCACCCCTAGGTGCCATCCCCTCACTTCTAATCTCATCAATACCATTTTTAAACCATTGCCATTTTAAAGCTAAAAATAAAAAATGTAGATAATAAAAAAGCCAACACAAAGATGTTTTACTAATGGTTCAGCCTAATTTTACGATAACGCAAATTCTCTTCCTTATCATCAGGTGACCTTGGCGGCCACTCGATTGGACCCCTTCTGCCAATCCATTGCCTTGGATAATATCTATCCAACCACCGCTTTCCGTGACAATAGAATATTGCGGAGGGGCTCCATCTTGCTGAAAGTGTATGATGTCTTCATTAAGAGTTAAATTTCCTTCCAAATCTCTTTGATTTTCAACCTCATTTACAATGGCTGGCTCTATCAAATTGTTCAGCATTTCCACATAAGCATCACCAGTCAAATTTCCGTCGATGAAAATGGACCTATAATTTTATCGCCTAGTATTCCGCACCAAACATTAAGCTTTTGGGAATGTTGGGTGTGTCCTTCAACAACAATATGCGGATTCTCATCGCTCCAGTGGTGTCTATTGGTTAACACACATCTTTGTTTAGTTTCTATTAACGCACAGCCCATTTTTTAAATAAAATAACTCCTTTTGATTTGACCTATTAGTTTGATACAGGTTTTTTCTATAATATTTAATTTTTTTTTTTTTTTTTTTTTTTTTTTTTTTACCAAATTTCAAGAAAAACGGTTTACCAATGTTCTTAAAAATAAACAAAATATATTATTTTTATTTGGCCATTCTAGGGCTCAGCTTCGGAAAGCATAGGGATCGTCATTTTCTTGACAACTTCTTGATCTTGTCTTGATCTTGTTTTGATTTCAATTATTACTATTGTTACTATTGTGTCTCTAGCAGCCTGAATACAAACTATTATTTGCTCATCATTAGGATCTCTGTCTATTTTATTGTCAAGTTCATGGGCCCAAATTTCAAGTTTATCCAAAAGTAAGTTAACACCAATTACAACCGTGGGAAGAGTGCAATACTTCTCACCTTCAAGAAGAGTGTTTTAAAGCTTCTTAAGTAGCTACAAATTTTGCTCACCAAAACCCATTCATTATCTGAAAGCTTTAACTGATTTGAAAAATTAACGTTATCGCAGAAAATATTTAAAGCATTTTTAACACTTGAGCTCCAATTTAACATTTCTAAATTCTACCTTGTACTTACATCTAACTTCGGCGATGTTATTTTGCAATTTACTACCTCACACAAACTCTTAAGTTTAAGTTGCATTAGCAGAAGGTTGTGAATACTTTCAAAATGTAAAAGAGTTGCTTAAGATCTTTTAATTTCTAAAATACTCGTATTATCTTATATTTTATTAGATTATTGGGATTTTGGCTACTGTAGTATAATGAGCCCAAAGTTTTTGAATCTTTTGAAAATTAGATGCCTGAGATGCCTGACCCTCGATTTTACGCATAAAGCATAAACATGACATTAACCAATCTCACCGCGACTTTTAAACAGGGGGTTCCCCTTTAATAAACGAATTTTAAACGGGGGTTCCCCTTTTGTTAAGATATCAAGAAATTTCAAGATTTCTTGAGTCAAGACAAGAAATCAACTCTCAAGGGATGGTCAAGACAAGATTTTTTTTAATTCTTGAAAATATTTCAAGACAAGACAAGAAATTGCTTGTTAAGACAAGATTAAAGAAGCATCATAATTTTAGGACATATATGTTCATAGGAACTATTTGTTTTATTTTTATCATCTATCAAAGTTAGATACACTATTTTTTGACACCCTGCATATGTTTAAAGTCAATATTAAGGTATGTGATAATTTTTTGGATAAATTCAATTAATTGGTTGCTTCTTGCGGAAGCTCAAGAAGCAACCACTCATTTACTGCCTACGAAGTCTAGGGAACATTACGAAAGATGCATGCATTTAAATATGCACACATTAATATTTAGAAAACCTTAACATGTTTCAGTCATTCAGTGTGTGACAATAACACACAAAAATAAAAATATATTTAAGGCACTTGTATAACCGTATATGTTAAAATATTCCCCAACATGTACGTATCTTTTTTCATTTCCATCCTCAACTTTTATCCCTGAAGGATACACGTTATTTTTCTTGTTCCTTCTCCAGCCAAGCCCCGGATACGAAAATACGTCTCTCATGGACTTGTTAAAGTTTAGTTTTTGAAATTTGCTTACATTAGGCCGTATGGGAATAGCGTGTCCTGAGTGAAAATCTCTTTAAAAATACAGCATGCATGTTCAAAAGTCAGAACTCGTATCTCTTGGTTCTTGAATAATAAATTGGCTATAGAACTAATATTGTTGTGCAGAGTAATTCTTGTAATTGAAATTATGACAAATTGTCACAAAAGTTATGTCAAAAGCAAAAACAAGATTAAAATATTCAGATATATTCTATCTTTAATAACTGTGAATATGTTTCTTGCATACACACAACCAAACCTATATGCGATTATCTATTATTTTTCATAATTTTTGAGACATATGTAAATTTTGTGTCTAAGAATAAAACTCAGTCCTTACCAACGACTTTTGATGAAAAATAATCCATATGGCAATAAAAAAATCAGTTCCCAAAATAAACACAATGGTATTTTTTTGGTTTCTGAAACGAAATGAGATTTTAATTTTTAATCGTGAAAACGCAAAAACAAAAAGAAAATGGATAACTTTAATAATCCGTGCTGCCACCTCTAGCCTCTATGCAAGCTTCTATCCGCCCTGGCATGCTTCTTATTAAATTAATAACATTGTGTTGGGGTATGTTTTCCCATTCTACTTGTGCTGCATCAATAATATGTGTGAGATTTCCTGTATTGTTTCGACGAACTCTAACCCTTCTTTTAAGTTGGTCCCACAAGTGTTCGATAGGGTTTAAATCTGGTGAACATGCAGGCCAGTCCAAAACTATGACACCTTCCATTTCAAGACATTCTCTAGCCGCTCTGCTGGTAGGGGGAGGTGCATTATCGTGCATGAAGTTAAAATTATCCCTAATTGCAGTCTCTAAAGCCTAACGATTGGTTCTAGCACAAATCAACATACCTCCGACCCGTTAAAGTTTGTTGAAGTACTAACAATGGTGTTTTTGCTCCCAGAATAATACCTACCTAGAACAGTACAATTCCTCCTTTATATTTTGGTACAGATTTGGCAGCCTGGAGCCTCGCTCGTCTTCCTGGAGCTCTAGAACCCGACCTTGATGGTCATCTGATCTTAGGCCAATTCTGGTCTCATCCCAAAAAAGAACAAATTCTCAAATGTCCAGTTTTGATGTTGAAGGCACCAATTTAGCCGGTCAATTTTATTTTGCCCATATAACTGTGGGACCTGTAACTCCCTCCTACTGCACAACCCTCGAACACGAAGCCTTTTTATGGTTTCAACTGAAACGTTCAAACCTGTAGCTGCCAGAAATTGTCTTTGTAGGTGTAGATGAGAAACATTGGGAGTCCTTCTAGCAATTTGGCACACAAAGCGGTCTTGTTGTTCATTTGTGACTCTTTAAGACTTTGTCTGGGCCTGTTCTTGAGAGTACGTAGTTCCAAGTACCTTGCATATGTTTTCGATACAACACTTTGGGTATAGCCTACTATTACTGCTACGTCTCTTTGGGGCATTCCTTGTTCAGTGAGAGTAATAATTCTTCCCCTCTGTACATCTGTTAACCCAACATAAAGCATTTTTTTATATTTTTAGATAGAATGAAAATTACCGGGCAATCGTGATTTTACTACTCTACACAAAATTCACAAGAAAATAAATCGCAGCAGTCGTTTATTCTTTATTGTTATGTTTATTTACAACAAAAAGTCTTACCTCAAAGTTGTATACCAACACTTTTTTTCTACAAAAAGTTTAGTCAGAAATCAAGAGTGATTCCATATAAGTTTGGTTGTCTGGTATATATTGTTCATTCATTTCACCACTCGACGAATAATACAAATAAACAAACCTTACCGGACAAAATGAAGGTACCTATCTAAGATATACATCAATCGTCATCATCATTATCAACCAGCCATTAAAGTCCACTGCTGAACATAGGCCTCCTTCGTTTGCTTCCATAACTCCCTATCTTAAGCTATTTGCATCCAGTTACTGTGGATACGCCTTAAGTCATCATGCCATCTGGTTGGAGGACGGCCTCTGCTCCTGAATGCATCATGTCTTTGTCTCCATTCAATTATTTTCTTCGTCCATCGGTCATCATTTAGCCTTGCAATGTGCCCTGCCCAATTCCATTTCAAAGTAGTTATTTTCTCTATGGCATTCATGATTTTTGTTCTGACTCCGTACTTCGATATTCAGTACTTTGTCTTTCAGAGATTGATCTCGAATATTAATCTTTCCATTGCTCTTGGCGTTATTTTGATTTTGCGTACTGTTTTCTTGGTTAATGTTAGGGTCTCCGCACCATACTTTAGAACTTGTAGTACGCATTGATTGAATACCTTTCTCTTTAAACATATCGGAATACCCCTTTGAAAATGTATTTCAATCGTCCATAGGCGTCCCAAATCAATCCTATTCGTCTGTTAAGCTCGCAAGTTTGGTTATCGCAGCTTATACATATTTTGTGTCCCAAGTAAATACTTCGGAAAAAAATAAAAAGCTGCTTATAAGTATAAGCAGCTATTTCTTTTATTTGATATTGGTTAATATACCGGGTGCGTCTCAAAAGTGGCTCACCCCCTATAACTTTTTTTATTTTTTCAGATAAAACAACGAGATTTGGTATGTTAGTATATGACATAAACTGGGATTGATTGGCGTATTCAATTGTTTTCGGTAACTTCCGGTTTCACCGGAAATGACTACAACTTTAGATTTTTAAATGGCACCCTCGGTATTTTTTTACTCTATTTGATAGAAAATGAGATTCTGAATCGAATGACATATCATATGTCAATTTTTGACATAGTCACTCAAAACAAATTCTATATTAAGTTTCAATCTAGAGTGCCATGGGTGTGTTAAAAACACTAATTTTTAATCAAGGAGCCCTGGAAAAATAGATTTGATCGTCTAATGTTTTTAGTGTCTTGTCCTGGCCGGTTAAAAGATGCTCAAATCGTATTTTGAATCATATCTCAATTTTTTCAAATGGAACGAGGGTAGCTCATTAGCATATTTGGAAAAAGCATTTTTTTACGAATAATTTGATACCACACACTTGGTATTTTGAGTCAAATTGTCGTTATGAACCGCATGTTACAATTTCAAATAAACCATATGCCAAAATGTCAAAAATTGACATATGATATGTCATTCGATTCAGAGTGTCATTTTCTATCGAATAAAGTAAAAAAATACCGAGGGTGCCATTTAAAAATCAAAAGTTGTAGTCAATTCCGTTGAAACCGGAAGTGACCAAAAACAATTGAATACGTCAATCAATCCCAATTTATGTCTTATACTAACATACCAAATGTCTTTGTTTTATCTGAAAAAATAAAAAAGTTATAGGGGATGAGCCACTTTTGAGACGCACCCGGTATATTCCACCGACAATTACTAGGTTTGTCATCACTTGGGTTTTTGAGATGTTGATTTTTAGTCCCATTTGTTCAGAGGTTGCATTCAATTTTTGCAACATTTCTTGGGCTTTATTTACGCAATCAGATATCAAGACAATGTCATCAGCAAATCACAGGTGGTTCAAGTTTTCGCCATATATATTTTTAGGAACATATATGTAGTAGATTAAATTTATAAGAAAGAAAACCCAGAAGAGATCAGTGGTTCTCAAAATTTTTAAAAATATATTTTTTTGGTAATTTTCAAAGTAAAATACACGGAAAAAAAGTTAAACTGGCTTAAATATTATTAATCTTGAACCAACGATATGCTAGTTTCCCGATTCCGCAAATCGTATCCTTAGAAGCTAAGAAAATTTATCTTTTATTTAAGATTTACCTAGCATTGAAATTAAGATTATAACTACACTCCAGACAATTCTAGATAAAATCTTGTTTCCAGTACTACTTATACTTATTTGTAAATTAGCAAATTATTGCATTAAGTATAGAAATTCTTTATGTACATGTAATAATTACTTAATTCTGAAATAAAGCCTCATCTTACTCTTAGGTTAGTTACTATCGTTACAAGAGTTAATGTCTAATGATTAGTTTATAAAGTTTTTTTGTTATCGTTTGTGCTTGTGATATGTGAAAATGGAGGACTTCTTCAGGCATGGGAGATGACGGATTTGATCCCAAAATTTCAAGGTAAGTTTAGCAATAATCCTACAATATTTGATAATATTTGTTGGAGGTTAGGGGGACTCCATTTTAATATGCACTATTTCGGAACCGAACAAACCCGATTTTAGGATAAACTAGTTTTTCCTAGGCCGAATATTAAGCGGGTTCAAAAAACTATATAGTTTTCATAAAATTCGGTAACGTGTTCCCTATGCTTTCGGTGGTTCGGGTTTGATCTTGTTAGAAACTCTTGTTTTGGTAAAATATTTTCCTTATCTAAAGTCTTTAAGCGCGGCATAATAGTTTTTCAAACCCGCATCTCTTTGGATAAAATGATTTGAATTTGAATCTGATTTGGCCTAGGAAAAATTAGTTTATCCTAAAATCGCGTTTGTCCGGTAACATACATGAATATGAAGAGTTGAACATGAAAAGAGTTCTAAAATTTTTAATTTCCATTTACAATAGGTATGGAATATTGAAATATCACCAGAATAACCCCGAATATGGTTAATACTTTTTTAATTAGATTAGCCAAACATCACCTACCAAATTATATGCTTTTCGTAATAATAAAATACAATAAAACTGTGTAATTTCCCAATATAGGTAGATATTGAACAGCGGCATCGCTAGTTAAAAACGAAAAACGATAATAAAAATTGATAAAACATAATTGAATCGTTCCAAACGCGTACATACCTAGTTTACCACCGGTGTATAAGAAATAATGCATATTAAAATGGAGTCTCCCTAACCTCCAACCAGTCATCAAATAATGTAGGATTATTGCTAAACTAACCTTGAAATTTTGGGATCAAATCCATCTCCCATGCCTGAAGAAGGTCCCCTATTTTCACATATCACAAGCACAAACGATAACAAAAAAACTTTATAAACCTACCCGACTAGTAGAAGCGTCTCGTGTCGCATGAGAGAAACAGAAATCCAATGAAATGAAGGTAGGAATCAGGAATGCACGTTGCGTTGTTGCTGTTGGGGATGGTCACTAATATAAGAATAGTAACTTTTGGAAATGGGGTGTTATTCTCACGCTGAGAATAATATGGTTATTTAAAGTACACACCGATTTCAAGTAAAAGTGTTTAAAAAAGTTAAGAATACTTATTATATAAAAGTATTTATACTTCATTTAATAATAGTTTCTTCTTTGCTAAATGATTTTTATACACTTGATAGTAATATAAGTTTTTCTTAAATATAAGTCATTTTATTATTTTTTTTTAGATTCAAAATTACTTAAAGTGACTATAACTATATTTAAAAAGCAAGTGTAAAAGTAAAATATATCCAAATATTTGTTGTTCTCATGGAAAGAATACTATCCTTAAAAAAAGAGTAAAATTTTAAGTGTATGATTGTTCTTGAATATAGAAATTATTTTTTTCCGTGTACCTCGGTTATTTTGGACTTATTTGAAAAACGGTAAAGTAAAAATATCTTTTAATATGTCTTTTTTATCGAGATCTATCAGCCCATAAAATATTTGTCCTTATTTCAAATTCAAATTCAAATTCAAATTTCTTTATTAGACCCCATTAAGTTTTACAGAATAATATTAGTATTAATAAATGTGATTAAAAAACCGATACAATGGCACAAAGTGCCAGAGTGGTGCGACCCCAAATACAAAATAGAAATAAATTAAATTATAAAAATAAACAGAATTAAAAAAATTAAAATTATATAAAAAAAGTGAAAATATAATTTTATCAGGGATGAGCAGAGATAAGCAGAGAGGCATAATGAAACAGTGTAAAAACCAGAACAGCAACCGGGCATATCAGAAGAACAAGATCTCACAAATCAGTCGAAGAAATTATAATATTTACGAATTTAGTAAATGATTTTTAATTTGTTTTTTATAATCTGTAAAGGATTGAAATTTAAAGTTATTAGAAATATTATTCCACAAATGTGGCGCTATGAAACTGAAAGATTTTTGGAAGTTAGCTGTTGGGTGTTGATAGGGTTCCCAACCGTCCCCCGGTTTGGCCGGGATTAACCAGGAATCAGAAAGTTTGTCCCGGCGAAAGTTTTGCCTTGGCCGGGACCTGGAAACTAAAAAAATGTGTACCTACTACACACATAATATATTTTATTTTCTAATATTTAATGTCTTGCTTCAATTATTTAAAAGCTTAAAAATAATTGTCCCGGAATCGCCGATGCTCAAATTGGGAACCCTAGGTGTTGAGGAATTTTAAAATAATGCACTTGTCTAGTCGAATGATCATGGTCAACGTAGTGAAACAATGAGAACAAATAGGGAGGCAACTCTGTAGTTAAAATTCGATAAATGAATGTCATTAAATGAAATTGTCGTCTGTTAGTCATGGGTAAAATAGATAAATTTTTAAGATGTGGCGTTATATGATCTCTAAAAGGAATGTTAAAAGAAAACCGCAGACACGAGTTTTGAAGTATTTCGATTTTTCTAGAGAATCTAGCGT